CATGATATAAAATTTTATAATTGAAACAATTCACTCTATTAATTTTTTTCTATTTAAAATAATAGAAAAAAATATCTGAAATTAATTAATATATTCAATCATCAAAAATAAGTTTTTGACTATGATCATCTAATCTATCTTTATTTACATCAAAATTTTTTGCAAAAAATGTATTCTAAACATAAAACATTTAAATGAAATTTTTTATCTCTTATTTTTAAGCAATAATCAATGATTATGATTAATTAAATTAAATTAATTAAATTAAAAATTTTAAAACCAATTTTTGATTTCAATAATGAATATATTGATTGTATCATAAGGTAATTGATGAGGTTATTTGTATCAAGTCATTTTTTATCTTCAATAAAATAAAATCATCATCAAATATAAAATTAAAGATCTATGAATTAACTTATATCTTATAATGAAAAAATAAATTTTGAAAATAAATAATTCAATAGAAAATTTAAATTATTTCATGAATAATTATAAAAAATAAACATGTTGTTTGAAATATTTTGAAAATTGTTATCTATCTTAAAAAAAATTCTGAAATTTCGATATATTTTTTAATTTTTATTGAATTTTGATAACCTTTTTTTCAAACAGTATCTTGAGCAAAATTTTCCATTCTTTAAATTTATCAAAAGTTTGATTTTTGTGTTTCAACAGATATCTGCAAACTTTTCTAGATAAGTCATCAATGATAAATAACAGATAGAATTTACCACCATGTGTTACTTCCCTTGAAGTTCCTCACAAATCTTAGTGAATGTAGTCAAGGACTTGTGTAGACGTGTGTTTTCCAATTAGAAATTTCTACGCGCGTGTTGTTTAGTCAAAGTGCAATGTTCGTAGAACTCAAGTTTGCTCTTTTGTACTTTCTCAGCAAATTTTGGTCGCTCATAAGTTGGAGACACTTCTCGCTGATATGGTTGAAACTTCGGTAGCAAAGTGTAGCTTTGCTGTGATTTTGGGTAGTGGCAACTGAAGCATCTTCCGGCTATCTTGATAACTTCAAAACAATAGCATCTTTTGCAATATATACATAAAGTCTTGCTCTATACTGTGAGTATAATACAAGTCATCAAGAATTCCAATAGAGATCAATTTCCTAGACAATTGAGTTAAACATCTAACATCTCTAAAAATTATTACAACATCATCAAACATCTTAATGCTAACAGATCATAATCTAACAACGGAACAAGAATGATAGTTGTTCATAATTATCTTCATTTCATCGAATTCTTGATAATTAACATCCAATGCTTATTTTGTGTCATACAAAAGATGCAACCAGAGTCAAGGATCCAATTCAAAGCCTTGGGATTTCTTGATACCATGAGAGATTCGCCGTCGTTGTAGCCATCACCAAAGTTTGTTGAATCTTGATGGCTTTTTGATGTGCTAGCTTGATTCTCCTTGTTCTTCTTAATCCTTGAGTAACCATACTTCTTGATGTGACCCATCTTGTTGCAATACGATCACTTCTTGTCAACATTGTTGCATTGGGACTCTGGTTTTTAGTCTTTGTAGATGATATGCTGTGCTTCTTGGACTTTGAGTTGTTTTCATCGGTGTTCTTGCGCTATTCTTTGCCATGGGCCATGTGGTTTTTGCCATCACCGGAGGTCTTCTTGACAGCTGTGATTTCAAGACTCTTTCACAATTTCGTTACTGTGTCATTCTTGTCAATTAAGCGTATAATTGAATTAAATAGATGAAAAATTACTGTGCTCATAGTTGTTTCAGACATTTTTTCTCTTTGATCTTAGAAAATGTCTTCAAACTATGGCATCGGGTCAGAGATGGCCATGTGCAATCTCTACTGGATGAGCAGCATTGAGATTTTCCGGAGCCAAATGCGGTAATTTCCAGTGGTGTCAAATTTCTCAATGTGAATCTCATTGCCAGCAAATGATTTCAAGAATTGAAACTCGATACGCTTTATTGTGACGAATTTGTGTTGGTGCTTTGTTGTGTAAGATTGTCGTTCCATTCTGTCTCGTCCAAGCGTTTTTCAAAGCTATTCGATGCTTCCAAATCCGCCAAGATGAATTGAGCGCAGAAGACTGAATCAACGAAGTTGTGAAATCAAGATAGATGCTACAATGCTTTGATACCAATGTAGTACTTTGAATATTCGAAACCAACAGAAATCACAGTCTATACACATAAACGTACACAAGAATTTGTTTCCGATGTTAGCTCAAACGTCTAGTTCCCTTGAACTTGTCAATGAAGATACTTTAAGTACATAACCAAGATCAATGTCGTTGGACTTTTCCTTTTTAGTGTCTGTATAAAATTTCAGTCCCATGAGAAATAAATACCAAGACAATCATTATTGCAAAACAAACCTTTTCACACACATGATTCTCTCTCAAAATATGTTTCCCAATTCTCACATTAAGTTTTTCTTGAAATCCTATAACTACAATGAATCCTTCAATACTGACTAATTCTAAATCAACCGAAAAATATCAAAATGAATCTAAGTAGTAAATTTCTATACAACCCACATGATATTGACATATCACTGAGTTGATTATTAAACAATAAAAACCAAAAGAATCGTGAAAAAAAACATGTAATTGAAATTTCCCAGATTGAGCTTGTAGGATTGCTAATCTAACATTATTAAAACTCACAAGCACATTTGTTGGAAATGATAATTCAAATCTTTGGGAACGGTCGCTTAGTTGAGATTGGTACTCTTAGACCTTTGAATCGTATTTCAATGTTCTTAGAATGTAGAACAACTCTGGACTTCGAGTAATTGCGAAATTGCTTACTCTAAATGTGGCGTCACATAGTCATCTTCTGCTGTGGGAAGCACAGTAGATTTTGCAGCTTCGGTGTGGTCAGACTTGGCAAGTTGTATACTTTGAAATCAAGAAATTCGGGGAGATTAGAATTCAGTCGACCTGTTTCTACAAGTGCTACCAATTTTTTGCAAGAAGAGTACTTTGCGAGCGTCGTAGAACACGTTCAAAAATCTCTGGCTGAGCTACCATCACAGACTATTCATACACTCCAATTGGCTTCTACAAAAGTTGCAAATTTACCGGCTAACGAACAGCTTGGTCAATCTGCTTCAAAGATCACGTCTATTGCTGTTCATTTAGCTTCAGAACTGGGTTCTCAGTTACACAATTTGAAATATTGAAAGATTGAATCATCAGAACTAGCTATTGCAGCAGAAAAATTGGAGTACAATATGGTACTGCGGCTAGCACCTACTATAATGGACTATAATTGCGTTAGCGCATCTCCTGTAAACGCCATTGCCATTGCGGTTACTCTTGTGACAGCCATTTCTTTAGTTTCTTCCACGAGCAACAGGAGAGCTTTCATCGAAGATGAATATATACCTCTGAGATACGATCCTCGTTCAGTTGCTACATTTTTCAAGAAGAGACCTGCAGATGTACTAGTGCGATCTGTGCAGATTATGACTCAAGTGCTCCTGCTTATCTATAGGCCTCATACTTGACTTGACACTGAATAGATACTCGGACAATGAGAAACTCCAAGTACGGCAATTAGTGGATTGTATAGCCAGAGATCTTTGTGAGTTTTATCACACATTTCAATAATAATTAGCTATTGCAGAAGTCCACTAAAATTAGCATCGTTTTAGAACTTGGCTACTATATACTTACTTTCGCCAAGTTCTAAAGCTCTAAATTGTGGGATACCATAATACGAATCGAAACTTAATGGTCCCATCAAACAATTTAGACTACGATGGGATCACATCAAATAAATAACTCCATTATAAGTGCATAACGTTAATACATTTTGCACGTCCCCTTGCGATGCTAGGAGACAAAGCATTGATGCAGTCTCTAAAATCATTAATAGTACAATCTTCAGGTTATTTACCGATTCCTTCAAAGTTGCAATTTTTTTCTCATAAATCGTTTTTTCATCCATGTAAAATATCGGAGGTTGGTCACATTACCGGTCTAATTGGTCACATTGACATCACGTGTGTATGTGTATCACGAAAGTTTTGTTAATAAATGAATTTGAACGTCTTCAGACTGGTCCACAATTTAACCCAATTAATGCAACTTCGAAAGTAAGTCCTCCATACAAAATGTGAAAACATTATCCAAACTGTTGAACATAATCAATGTTGTATTTGCAGATTGTCAACAAATTTTGCCTTATGTTATCCGGGTGATGTTATATCTCTATATCTGTATACATATTTCAAGGCTGTACCAAATTAAATTCTGTACAAGGCTGGCCTTCAGTGGGTGCACTCAAAGGTATGTAGACTAGTGAGGTGAATAAAATGGGAAAGAAGAGGTCTGGAGATCACAAGGCTGACCACTTCAGACTCAACTCCAAGTGAACTCATCCTCATGCTGTATACCTTGGTTCACGTAGAATTGACAGAATTCACGTAGGATCAACAGCAAGCACTCGAAGAGAAGAGAGGAGAATATTAAGGAGAGAACTCCTCTACTCGCTTGGCAATAAGAACCTACAAGGCAGTGAACCGAGTCAAGGTGCCACTATCGTCCTAAAGCGAGGACTTCATGTTTCCAGACTTCTCAAGACTGAATTTGACACCTCCAACTCTTTCACTTACGTGAGGATTGTCTCTTTACTACTGGCTGTATGCATGTCAATGTAAGATTTCCATTGCGAATTAGTTCTTCTATGATGCATTAAGACATGGTATGACTGAACCGATGAAACTGAATTATTGACTGTGTAGAATACTCAGTAGAGTGTTCACGAAAAGAACTACTTTCATCACCGGGGGCAGTACGCTCATCGAAGCAAAGGACACAAATGCATCTCATTCAGAAAATCAGAAGGATATGTATATCTCCAGTCAGCATTCATTCGAATATGTATGACGAAGATTCTATATATTTTAACGAAATCAACAAAACAAGATCTACAAATCGACTGCATGCACATCTAGTTGAAACAATTTCTCTGATACAGACAGAAGAGAAGAATACGTTGTAGCAGAAACAGCATCAATACATGTTGACGATCTCGAGGTTCAATACCGAATTACTGACAAGCTTTCCTCTCCACTTCGTTAAAATGGATGTTCGTTCTGGTGTGTATCCATCCACGATTCGCTTCCGAAGTCTACTGAACCAACTGGTCATATACAAAGTCCAATTGGAGGCAGTTTCTCTGGTGGCAACAAATTCGTCATCCGCTCTCACGCATACTCCACGGATGATGGAAAATCAATTAATCAATCACTCATGCCCATTCTCAATTATGATCTTATGCTCTTCGCCGTCAAAACCATCAATCAAAACCAGCCTGACGAATTGTGCATGACAGAGTGGAGCACGTTTGTAAATGGCCGAGATTCAATAAACTCAGAATCAGCATTTGCTCGACGCCGTGACCAGGAATTGTCATATAACCAAACCAAGAATATTTTATTCACAATCATTCATACCCTGATCGTCAAGGAACGACGGCAGGTTATCGGAATCGAATAATCGACCATCGATGCCCACGAAGAGCAGCTATCATCGACGGGGAGCTCGTCAGATTAAACATGCACGATGCTCCTAATCTTGCCCTCCGTCTCCTCGTCGTAATAAGCGCCCTGAGCCACAAACCAGAACACCTTCTCGTCCTCCGGCACGCTCGCCAGCAGCTCCAGCAACTCGGCTGAGCTGGTGCCCTCGCTGACTCGGAGGCTCCACATCCCCTTCGACGCGCTCTCGCGGTAGTATATCACCTCGCTGTCCGCCTCCACGCGGCGGGTGCAATCGACCGTCGGCTCGCTCAAGAGGCGACGAGCTCCGGACACCGGGACGGGGGCGGGAGCCTCCGACGGCGACGGTGACAGGTCGCTGCCGTCGACGGCGGGGGAAGGAGCTGGGGTCGGGGCGGCGACGGGGACGGGGATGTCGGCGATAGGCACGCCGTTGATGCAACCGGAGGCCCAGCTGGCGGAAGTGAAGATGGCCGAGTCGCTAGTGAAGCAGAGCGAGCTGGCGTTGGAGGAGACGTTGGCCGTGCACCCGCTGTCTTGGTACACGGTGGTGACTTGGCACAAGTCCGCAGCCCTGACCTGGACGGACTGGTAGGCCGTCGGCGACACGCAGCAGCTGCCGTTGGCGATCGAGGTGCACAGAGCGTCCACAACTCCCGAGCACGCGGGCCCGTCCCAGAAGAGGAAGTCCACCGCCTCGGCCGTCTGCAGACCCGCCACCATCGCCATCACCATCGCCATCGCCACGAGCTTGGCCATCGTTCCTGTCTGACCTTCCTCGCCGTTCCTCGATGCGACCTGTGAAATCAACGGAGGGCGCAGAGAGTGAGTGATTCAGCTGCTCGGGCAAATCCACACTAACTCGTACTCTTCTGCGAGTAGGAAGTGAAGAGAGAAATCAACGTTCATCTACATGGACCCGGCTGCTCAGATCAGATTGAATGTCTGTTTTGAGCCAGAGGCCTGTCCGACAGATTTACTGCATAGCAACGAGTGAAGATGACAGTGACGGGAATTCCTTGAATTACCAAATGCAGAGCTGTGTACGAATTTTACCTTCGTTTCGACGAGCGAAATTTTCTGCAGTCTTGCTTTACATATCAGAAGGGTAAAGGTAGTACTCTTCAAGATACGTGAAAGATGCTGGCTGAAGGCGATGATTGACTCATGATCAGCAGAGGCTTTTGTACTGCGAGTGCTGCTGCTTCCTCTCGAGCTGGAGACGTTTCCAGCTCATGGTCAAGTGTACCGGGCAAGGCTTCCCTGTCGCTCACTGGACATTGCTGCTATTCAAAGACCAACATGTACTGGTCTCACGAGCCGCAGAGTCTGGTGATTGATGTGCCAGCCTCTGGAGTTTTCCTCATGTTCATCAGTAGCGAGGGCATGCGTCGTGAATTATGAGGATCTGACGTAAATGATTCGTGTGGAAATTCTCAGCCAGAGCACTGCTTGGATCGCCTCATTGATGTTGTTCTCATGAGCAATCGGTGGCTTATGGGAGGTTGGGGAAGGTAGAGATTCAGCAGTAGGCTGTTTTCATGGTGTCTTTGACCAATGTACAGTGGGATCATCTGTAGCTCGGCCTGGTTCAATGAGATCTGTTACAGTTATGAGAAAGATAGAGGATATACATCCTAGATTCCAACATTGCTGGATTTGATGAAACGTCTCGAGGGAATTGCTCGGAATCTGATCTACTCGGATGCGTAGACAAAGACAAATGCGTCGCTGAACGCAGGGAAGGAAACCCAATTCGACACAAGCTTATGCCGCTGATCTTAACTTTCACAAATAATTATTTACACCACAAGTATGATTTGTAAAACACTTTCACACCCGATTCGCTCAGTATAATCTTTACCTTACATGCTCCTGTTCTCGCTTCTCCACAGACCTGCAACGTAGAGTCTTCTGCGTATGGCATTTCTTCCCACGCATTCCTAAGAGCTGGGACTGTTTATAATAGTTCCACTGATCACTTCAGACATTTCTGCCAATTTTCCGCTCGTTCATAATGAGTATAACAAAACGGGGAAAGAAGATGAGATGATGCACAACGAGGATTCATGAACATACTATCGTAGATTTGAACATATATGTAGATTTAATATTATTGGTTTTCATTTCGCCACCTTCTGCCTTGATGCTTAGACAATCAAGGCAATCAAGGCTTTTCCCAAAGGAGGATCGTTATTGTCAAATGCATCATGGATTTGAGTTCTTTTCGACTGACTCTACGAAATTTTTACGTTAGGTCAGTAGGTTTTTTGGAAATATTTGAACTACTACCTCAACCTAGATTTTCATGTGTTTCAAGTTTCCAACAAATGTTTTTTAATATATCTTAAAAAAAATTTATCGATTGAAATTGAAAAAAAATCATACGGATAAGCTTGTAATTTTTTATTTTCATGAATAAATAATTGTAAATTATTTTTATAAATAATTAACACATATAACATAATATAATGGGTAATGATCGCTTTGGTTAAAAATGATGATGGTGAATTTCTATACAGTAAGATTGAGTTATTAAATTTAAAATTTTTAATGCATTTTGATATATAATTTTGAATTTTTTGGTGTTTGATTGAAACTAACTTCAGTGATCTTATCCTCAGGCTATAGAATTTATATTTTAATTCTTTGTGATCATAAGTGGAAAATGTAAAGAGGTTAAATTCCAATGAGTAACTAAATGTTGCATGAATTTGAAGAGATTATATCAGTGCAGCAAAATTCAATGTGGAACTGGAGAATGCAATTTACTTAAATTTGTGGTTTTAAGTATTAAACCAAAGCCAAGAGTAATGGAACGAGCACCTCCCTGATTTCATGTGGTTACTACATGAAATCAGGGAGGATATATACTGGATACGAGATGGTGTGTACCTGAAAATGATGAATAGAACAAGTGTTGCATTCATTTTTCTTATTTTGTACATTGATTATACGCTCATTGAATTTCAGAACAAACATCATGTTACTCAGCTGCAAGATCAATCGCGTCTATCTTTTAGCATGAATATTACGGGCATATGTCCAGCCACGAATGCTCTAAGTTATAATATTCTCAGCGATCATCTGGCATAGATGCTCGACTTGACGTGGAAGGAGAATGCCAAATTAATGCTTTCCAAGTTAAAACATGGCAGCAGTACGACTTTGCCTACTCACCTTGAACATTTTGATGACCTTTGTGCTGCAGATGAGAACAAAATGACCATGATTTTTTAAGATTTGTATAATGGATAGTTTTATATACTTGATTGTGTGCATCCTTCTAGATTTAGCATTTGTTTGATAAAATCGATTACCCGCTAAGTCTAGGCAAGGTGCACTTGGAAGTAATGAAGTGGAGACCTATAAATGGAAAGTTGTTTAATGCAAAGTCAATCAATGTAATGTGGCTCTTGGGCTGTGGATGCAAATTATGAAGAAGTACTGGCAACCATATATTCACAGTTGAAAATATTTTCACTACCGCAAAACGAGGTGTACACCTGATTGATCATCCATGGATCATCCACAAGAGCTGAGTATTGTTCGGCTAGAGATGCAACAAAGGAAAGTTTTTTGATACAACAAGCTGGTACCACGAATGGGGTTGTCATAATTCAAACAAACGTACATTTTGATGGCTTGAATGCATAATGTTGAGAACCAGGTATTGAACATGACGTCAGATGGGTTTCACGTCGACATCATGTATGTATCTGTGTATAATGAAGGGATTGTTTGATATTGAATTGTACGTCTTTAGAAGACAATTTAACCCAATGTTCGCCAGTTCCAAAGTGAGCCATCTAGTCAAAAAATTGGAAATACTTTCCAAAACTGTTAACATATGTGCAACACTTTTAAATTTGGCGATAATGTTTCGCCTGTTTGTGTTTTATAATATATACCTTCTATAAGCCTTACACATTCTTTTGACAATTAAGACTTTATCGTAATTCACTCCTGTGCCTTGAGTCTTTAAGATATATAGTTTGAAAATAGATATTTGTACTGCAAAAACTATTGAGTGAACACTGAATTTTTCAAGTTCGTTGGTAAGCTAAGGACTTCATGGATATACACACTGAACCGCCATCTCTAGAAAATCATTTTATCTCTGCATACATGAATATGTCTGAAGAGAATTATTGAAACATTCACTATTGCCTGTAAACCAGATCCAGTCTTTAATACTTGTTAGCTACATTTTGGAAGTACTTCCTGCATACAATCAGAAAATTGAACGTAAAAGACAAGTAAACAACCATAATCGCAGTGGTCATTGCTAATCGTCAGTGACAGAGTTCCTGGAAGATAGACAACAGCAAGGAGACGAAGCGGTCATACGTAATAGAGTAATCTCTCAGTACAAGGTAACTTTCAAGTTTGAAATCTTTCTTTCTGATCAACACGAGGACCGAAAGTTGAGTATAGGCCAATCCGTTTTAGGACCAGTGTACATCGCCCTAAATTGTGCACAGCCACGAGAAGGAAGTGGAAGAGCCAAACACAAACTCAGCTGAAGATCTAAAGGACTGAAAGATCTCCGCTGTAAAATGGTGAGACTACCAAAGAAAAGTGAAGTAGTGACGACTCTGCTCATTGCCATTGAACAAAAGTCCATCGTGAAATGAAAGATTCTACTAGATGCAGATGCAAACGATAATGATCTGCCTAGAATGGAGTTTATTTCCTTCCCAAGCGTGCAACTAAAATATCAGGCAGGTTTAGTACAAATGGTAAGCTCAACCAAAGACGCTGCTGATGGCAATGATTAGCTCTATAGAGTCGGCAACAGAATGGACAACAGTATCAATTCTGTAAGTACAGAACATATGGAGGCCCAAATGTTGGTAAAAATGACAGGAAGAATCAGCAGAAAGACAAGCTTTTAGACTTCCAGCTTCTCACGATTGAATCGTCTGCTTCTTGGATCCGGATGAGATGTTGGAGATGTGTATGTTACAATGATTTGAATACTGGGTACAGACATTGAATTGCTGGAAAAGTATTGTACTTTGACTAATCGTCATCTTTGTACGGGTATTCCTCAGGTACTTGCTCCAAGAGCTTCAGGCGCATCTCATACGCATCATCTCCTCGAAGAATATCCTTTACGAACTTTACTTCTGTTCGCATTGATACCTGCCAAGCACCTCCCATCCTTCTTAATACAGAAAACCTGCTGCTACGGCTAAAACCTCCAAACATGACTTCATAAGAACCTTATCTAGGAACACTTCCCACGCCCACAGATATGAAGAGTCGACATTTCAGATTGAATGAAATAGCTCGCGCTACACCTGAGACCTATTCTAATCACATTCGGCTCTTTTGACGAGTGAGGAAGCGTCAAAGAATCTAAACAGTAATATAGATAACAGCAGCTAAGACCTACTCGTCTCAAATTCGGCAACCATTTATAATATAAAGTCCTACGTGAAGCTCAAAAGACGACTATGTCAAGACTGCATAACGATTTTAGGGTAGCTTTCTAGACAATGAGCTTCTGTGTATACAACCCTGCGGAACGGTACTGCGTATAGCTTGCATCTCAATGGTATGAGCCAAGAGCTCTTGAGAGATAATCTCGACTGCTATTTGATCACTTTGATTGTAAATCAAAGCCAAAGCTCTCTGAAGCTAGAATTCTACTGGAAGAAAAGTAAAGCGAAAAGCAAAAAAACACGGCTTGATCACTTGACTACATTAACAGTGCAATGAGAATTTGTGCACTCACCATCTCCAGAGCGCCTCTGATAACTCCGCACAAAATGTTGCAATAGTAGAGTCCTTGACAGGTTTCTGGGAGCTCCACAAAGTCCACTAGAGGATTGTCATCCAAAATAAGACTGCACTCTGTGCCGTCTGCGTTCCAGTTCGCGACAGAACCAGTAACTCCAAGGAACATTTTGAATCCAACCTACAATTATTGAGAATCACGATGATCAGCTTTTGGTAAAAAAAAGAGAAGGCATGACACAAAGTTTCAAAATTTACCAACCATCACAAACCTTCGCAATAGTCTCTGCGGTTTCTCTGAAGTCCGAGCACCTTGTGATGTTCGCCTTGGCTAGGAAGTCATCAATCAGTCGAATCCCAATGTTGTAACCCCTGCGCATTGAAGCGAGCAATGTGAATAATTATTGTACACTTGAGCTGGTTCTCTTAAAGGCTTATAAACAGACTTCTGGCCAAGAACTCTCTAATTTCGTAGCTCTTTTCAAAAAAAGCGTCTGCTCTACAAAAGGAGTAGATTACCGACATCGTATCAAGTTGTTTGTTGACTTCATCCACTTCTTCGAAATCGGTAAGCAGCTGGCGGACAATGGCTCCATATGTCAACGTAAAAAGCTCGGCATTCTGCAGAGAGACCTAACGCACTCAAAAAAAGTGGGACAGAACATGCTGCAAAAACTATCGAAACTCTCAAACTCCACTGAAAGTAATGATTGAGATCTCTTAAGCTCCTAGAGACGGATAAAGAATTTTTCACATTCTTACACTCATTCAATTGTCAATTGATGATTAAGTATAATCATTTCCCTGTCATCAACTCAGACTCACCAACAAAAGACCTGACAAATAATGCAAGGAAGGAAACGCGATGCGTCCGCACTCCGATCGACATCTGTATCGCGAAGCTTTCAGCAGGACTTTCTCTTTCTCCTATGACCGATCTACGTGACTGAAACTACACATTTGGATCTACGTAGCTCGTCTGATGTCTGAAGATGACCTACCACTCGTTCCACATTGGCGAACACCGCATCTCCGGGCCTCGAATTCGGCGGCATGGCGTTACGTTTGAAGCACTACAAGTGTCGATCGTCGTCCTGTCCACCACCTTGCGAGCGATCAACAAGTTTCTGAATAATGCCGATCACTTGATTGTTCTGCTCATCACCCCTCGCATTCTCGTGCACGAGGTAGAGCCTGTCGCGATAGCAAACGGAAAAAATAAAGATCGACAGCATGAACTTTTGAAGCAAATGAAACCAGTAAGCTACGTCAGAATTTCCAGAACAAGCCCAGAGACAAGGTGGTCTCGTCGATATCCCAGGGAAATGAAGTTCATTTTGACAATTGGCCAGCAAACCATTTCGGGAAAAAAAGACGCACAGCGAAGGCAGGAAATACCCAGCGAGAAATCGCGAGCAGAAACCCTACCTCTGCATCCGACCACCGGCCCTCAGCTCGCAAATCAGGCACTGCTCCGCTGCGCCTCACTTTCTCTCTCTCTGCCTGTGAGCTCTTGCACCGACAGGAGAACGAGGGGCTCACGTTGCCTTCGTGCGCAGTGTACGCATTTGAACATCCCGTAGGAACGTCCTTCCCAACGGGGTCCGGCGTCCTTAGCCACGACGATATTTGATTAGTTTCACATTGTTTGTTCATATTAGTCTCACCTAAGGAGTTCGCGAGTCCTTTGTTTCCATGCATCTAGCATCTAGATTAAACATAAAAATGCATTAACTCCAGATTTTCCTCTCTAGATTTTTTCTTGATTTCGTTTTGAAGTATGTGAGATGTGTTTTCACTTGAATTCGTAGGTTTTCTTGATTTCCTTTTGAAGTATGTGACATGTGTTTCACTTGAATTTGTAGGTTATCAATCTGCTATATTCTGAAGGGTTTTAAACTATAGCTTTTGTAAGAACAAGTAAAGACATCCTAATTTTCTTTACAATAGAAATCATTGGAATGAAAGTTTGCTTAAATTCTATTAAAACCTAACGCACAGATTGATTACTTTTTTGGAAACATAAGAGAACTTTTTACCAACAAAATGGATTTATCTTCTTCTCAGGTTTAAGTTCGTTTATACCATTGAAAGTAAGATAATGCATGAGTGATTTGTATATTGATTGTGATTATAGACATACTTCAAATTGTAATATCAATCTCTGAAATAATATTTTAAACTTTCAACTTTAAATTTAATATTTTTTCAATATAATTTTTTGGAAATTCAATTAAACAGATACTTTATTATAGGTTAGAAAAATGAATTTGTGAAATAAAATGTTAGTAACTAATCAACACACAAGTTTTTTTAAAAAACTAGAAACATACCAGTATTAAATCACCACTTGATAGGATTTTTTTTATTTTTTGGTAGAAATTTAAAAGCATCAAATATAGCAAATCACATTCTATCCAATACAGTTAGCAGTGAAGTTTATTAATCAAATGTATGGATTTGAGAATGAATATTATGTAAATCTCTAATTTCAAATCTTCATGTTATTAAAATTAGAAGAATTTCTAAAAAGATATTATGTTGATAAATATCAGATGTTAGGTTTAAAATAAAACAAAATCATGACACTGACAATCAAAAAAAGAAGTTTCATTTGTCTATCATTGATGATTTACTATAAATAAATATTTTATCAATATTTAAATAATATGAAATTTAGAATATCTGTATCAATAAAAAAATTTGAAAATATTATTTATATTTTTATAAATAATATAGCAGATTACCAAGAAAAGGATTTTTTTCTAATTGTATTAGAAAAAAATTTATGATTGATAATCAAGTTATTACATATGTTTGCAAGATAAATTTAGACTAATTAAAAATTTATGCTTCTACATTACATCAAATATTATAATAATCATATGATGTAAAAAATCAAAAACTAACATTCACTTAAAAAAAATTACAAAAATTGCTCAAAAATTGTATTTCTATGTAAAGTTTAATATATGCTTGACAGATTTAACATGATAGACTCCAAAACAAATTGGATTTCTTTGTTAGTGGGTTCTAAGGTTTTTACATTCATGTCATAATGAAAGTTCAAAATGTAATCAATTTCAATGCATTTGATGATATGCACTACATCTAATATTGTTCTAAGTATGAACAAGGTGTAAGTATAGATACCAATTTCAAAAATGTGCATTGAAAAATTATGAATTGAATTTTCAAACGTAATAAAAATAATTCTTAAGTTTGATGATATCTCAGACAATGTCAATTGCTTATTAGGTTACATTGATGTTGAGTTTGAATAAGATATGAACAAGAGAAATTATTTAAATGAATATGCGTTTACATAAAGTGATAAATACACAATTTGGAAATATATTTTGCAAAAATGCTTAGTCCAACAACAACAAAAGCTGAATATATAATGACTACAAGAGTATCACAGGAATCTATTTTATTACATAAACCTAAAAGTAATATGAAATTGAAATACAATTTCGTCAATCTTCATGTTGATATTTAGAGTGAATAATATTGACATTAAATATCATTTTATTAGAAATAAAAAATTTAATTCAAAAGGTTAAACTAGTCAAGATTGACAATGCATTCACTTTACATTAATAAGCATTAATTATATGAAGAGTTTTATGACACAGTGTGTTACTTTGCAAATTTTGGGTAAAAAACATTAGTAACTAGATATTAAATTTGAAATGTTCAAATGTATGATGATTTTCATATTGATATGTTGTAGAATTATGAATTGAAACTTAAAAAAGTTTACAAGTCAAAAAATATAAGTATTCGTTTCAAAACAAATACATTCTTATGCAATTTCACTCTTTTAGATTATATAGCTACTTATTTTCAATAAATGTATAAATAAGTATCAAATTTTTTTTATTTCTATAATTATATATCAATTATGAATTTTAAAAAATATTTTAAATTTTAAAAAAATCATTGTTACATTTTTTAAACTAAAATTATTATAAATTTTGAAAAACTAGCAAAATTACTAAATTACCTTATGAAAAATTGCAAGAATATATTTTTTATATCATAAAAAATAATCAAGAATTTTTAATTTGATGATGTGAATCAATCAATAAACTTGAAGAATATATTAAAATGGATATGTTTTTTAACTTGGTCAATCCAAATATGATATGACATGATGAAGGAGTTGAAAAATGAAATATTGATTATCATTTAAAAAAATTGACATATCTATACTTGCTTTGAATAAACTTGATGTAAAGATTTATTATACCAATCATATGTTACCATGTAAGCTAACCTGAAATAAATAAATGTATGATATAGAGTCAACATTCTAAGACAGATTGGTAGAGTTAAATCATATAAAGAATATGTATATGTTGTGATGATGTTATTGAACAAAGATATACATAATAGTAATTTATGTAGATGCATGTGTAATGAATATTAAATTTATCAATTTACAAAAGAAAATTCATATATATGTGTTTGTATATATATATATATATATATATATGCTTTGAATATATATTTTTTAGATAAATGTAGAGTAAAAAAATCTAATTTTCTGAAATGATATGTAGGATAAATTCAATTGCAAATTCAAGATGTTGATATATAAATGTAAATGAACTCTATGAGAAGTACATATTATATTTATGAAAAAATTAACCACTTTAAGTTCCAAATAGTTATGAATAATATATGAAAGAGTAATGATTATAATGAAACATATATAGATTACATTTTGAAATATAAAGCATGTCATTTGTAAAATATTGCTAATGGATTTTCAAGTTGCATATTAGAATAATGCTATATTATTTGTTGATAGAAAATAGAACTATTATACACGATTATAAAATTTTACTCCAATTCTAGAAAAATGTTTTTGAATATTAATTTCAAAATCTGAGATAATATTTCAAAGATTCAGTCTCATTATAATGTAATATTATCAAATTTACACAATCAAGATGGTGAATGTTCAGAAATAGTGTGCAAAGAAAGTAAGTATCTCGGACATGCTTAGCTGGTAAAATTTGTTGGAATTGTTGATTCAAAATCAGTTTAACTATTTTAATCAATAAGTATGCTATACATATAGTGTAATGAACTCTATAACGTTAATCCATAACTCCAGTCTTATGTATAGCTGATTAAGGTAGGTTCACTCCTTTGAATATTAATACAATTGTCAATTCTTCCTTAATATTCTCATTCTAACTTATGATCTGACTTATTCCAACACCCTACCTTACTCTAGAGTGCATAAGATAGGTTCTTAAAACTACTTCTCTAAGTTTAAATCTATTTCATTTAGTTGCTAACAAGAAACTAGAGCAATGGCGGAACTTAGAGCTAAAAATCGTATGCAGTGATTGCCTCTTAGCGTTACAATTGATGCTGTATGTAAGGATAATAGATCTTGATGTGATAAGAAAATTGGGCGAGGGCAATCTAGGATACGGTCTCAATGTGCATGTAAGGGTGGGTTCATGAACAAGTTCATTTGCCAAAAGATTTTGTGTTTGACCCAATGATAAAGGAATACTCCACCTACTTCAAAGTTGGCTACTCTTGTGAGCTGGAACCTTGTCGTCTGAGAAAGATGTTAGTTGTAGTAGATGTGAACCCCTTCGTAAGCTAGACATTTTGGATGAAGTTTTTTGTGTTTTTGACTAGAAAGTAATATGTTGTAGCCATAAGCAATGAATATACTTAAGTTGATAGAAGTCATCAGCTTAATTTATTGGCTTTTCAAAAAAGTTGCATAAGGCGTTTAGGAGAAGAGAGTAGGCTGGTGTGTCCAGCAAAGACGCTAGAACAAGAAATTCTAGTCATGAGAGATTCTTCGCGTAGCGCTGTAACCATCTTTAGTTAAGTAGAACTAAAGTAGAGGTTACTCTAAACATTGATATAGATACTTTAGTGTGCACTAGTCATAGCTGCCACATCAGCGATCCGCGCACTTGGTAGGTACAAAGTGGATGTGTTAGTTGACAGTGATAAGTCAGCAATCCGTGTGCTTGTAGGTAAGGATTGAGTGTGTTAGTTGGGAATGCCATGTCAGCGATCCGTGTGCTTGTTAGGGTTATCCGCAACGTCATCCATCCACTTTGAGTGGGATGGATGGTGGGGATAAGATCTTATCTTCTTGTACTTGTTGGTGAGAGCTATATAAGGGAGAGAAGAACCATTGTTGGTATCTATCATCTTTAGAGTTTACGTTTCTATCTTCGAGTGAGCTTCTCTCTAAACCCTAGTGTTACAATGGTACCAGAGCAACCTTGCTCTTTCCTTGAGTGTGGATTACCTCTCATGGAATAGCAAGTGAGTGATGATGGAGTGCAGTTTTGAGAATGTATAGAGGTTGGCTAAGGTCATTCATATGCATGTAGAGAGAGGTGGAAGTGGGAATTTGTGGTTTTGCAGATATGGACAAAATTGACAGGAATTCAATACCGCACTGGCCAATTTCTAACCTATTCGATATTCACCTTCGTTGCATGGAGAAACATCATTCTCGGATGTACCTTGTGGCTTGTTGGGGTGCAGATTCTATGACTAGAGTGATGGAATCGAGAGTGCCACTGATTCTTCAAATAGTT